ATAACAACATAGTCTTTAACAAGTATAGGAATTCAAAAGGCTTGACTAATCAACAGGTTACTAACTGCAATACTAATTATAAGAATACAAATAACAACTTAACTGTGGGATTACTTCTGTAGTCTATCTTGGTACTATTTCAACAATTGAAAATCCAAATATAAAGAAGTTTTACATTGGTTCTACTATGAAAACATTCAAGGAATGCTGGCGGGGGCATATGCAATCCTTTAATCACAGTGAATATAGGTACATGACTTCATTATCCAAGTATTTTTGGAATCTAAAAGATAAGAACAAAACACCTACGATTAAATGGAGTTTGGTTACAAAAGCTCGTACATGTAACTCCCTATATACCCCATGTTACCTATGCCTTAATGAAAATTTGAAATTATTAGATTTAAAGACAAGGCTGATCTCTTAAATCAAAGATATGAACTGACAGTAAATTGTAAACACCGTTATAAATTTAACTTAGTGTAGGGGTCGTATACTTTAAATGATAATGATATGTCGCTGTATTTTTTAATAGATTAGTATTTTTATTGCATAATGGTCATACTTACGATATAAGTGTGTATTGTTTACCTGCATAGTGTTATCAGTGTTGGTGTAAATATATATATATTTATTTATGTGTTGGTTAGAGTATTTGCACTGAGGAATGTGTAGGTTGGTGTATAAGTGTATTTATGGGTTTTTTTTTGTTTTTTTTTTTTTTGTGAGGGTGTATGTGTGGGGTATGTATGTATGTATATATATGTGAGTGTGTGTGTATATATGTATATATATATTATGTGGGAAGGTAAGGTAGATTATGAGAGAAAAGGTTAATAATTATTACTGTATATGTGTATGTGTGTGCCTATATATGTATGTGTGTATGGGTGTGTGTATATATGTATGTATTTGTGTGTGTATGTATGTAGATATATATATATGTTTGTATATATATATATATATATATATATATATATATATATATATGTGTGTGTGTGTGTATATGGTTGGATATATATATATATATATATGTATATATGCATATATATATGTATGTGTGTATATGTATGTATGTATGTGTATGAGTATGTACAGGTATGTATATGATTAAATCACGGCAGTATAATGGTTGGCCAGCATGGTTCACTAGATTGGGTGCGACTGAGCAATGAGTTCGTTCCTCACTGGATGCCCCTTGATTTCAGCTTTGTGCCACGATATATTTGTATATATATATGTATGTGTATGTGTGTATGTATGTGTATATATATATGCGTGTGTGCATATGTATATATGTGTATATATATCTGTATGTCCTATTTTATTGTGTATGTGTATTTATATTTAAGTATATTTCTGTTTGTATGAATGTGTTTATATATTTGTATGTTAGACTATATGTATATTGCTGTGTTTGGTGTTTGAAGGTATATTTATGTATCTATATGTTAGTTCATTTATATATGTATTTGGTTGAAAGTTGTTGTATTTTTATGTATGCATGTATATATGGGTGGTTGTTATTGCAGGTAGATATATTTATGTATATATATATGTTTAATTGTAGATATGTATGTATGTGTGTATATATATTTATGTATGTTTGTGTATGTATATATATAGGTGTGTGTGTTGGAACCTATTATGTATGAGTTTGTGTGTATGTGTGTAGGTATGGAAACTTTGGTATATCATGACTGTTTTTATATATCTAAGTATGTGTGCATAAAAGTCTATGTGTGTATATATGTGTGTATTTAGGTTTATATGTATATGTACGTACATATGTACTTGTTATCATAGATATGTATATGTACGTATATGTTTATGTTTATATATTTATTTGTGTGTATTTCTGTACGTATATGTATGTATGAATATATATATTTTTTTTTTTTTTTTTTATGTGTTAATTTGTTTTTGCTGCCGTGTGTATATATATATATATATATATATATATATATATATATATATATATATATATATATTTGTGGATTTCTTTATCCTGTTTTTCTTTTTGCCAAATATATAATGAAACTATTATCAACTTATATGATTAATAATATATATATATTTTTATTGATATTTATTGTTTTAGAGTTTTCGTTTTAATATATTAAATAATATTATTTTAAACATTTTTATCTTTATATATTTTTGTCCCTTAAGTTATAATTCAATAAAGTGGTTAGCATTTATTTAAGTCTGAAATATTTACTGGTTGTGATTTCTCAATGTCTATGCCATTGTGGATGTATGTTTGTGTATATATCGGTGTCTATGTGTATGTAGAGTGTATTCACATTTAACTGTGTGTGTGTATAAGTGTTAGTTTCACGTCTCCTTTTTTTTCGTAAAGGGCTGTGGAGTTGTTCATGTATTCCCCCACCTCTTCCTTTTTTTTTTTTTTTTTTTTTTTTTTTTTTTGTGTGTGTATATTTGTGTGTGTGTGTATCTAATTATGTCTGGATGCATATGTATTATAATCTGATTGTGTTTTTGTTGTGTCACGCCAGAGTTTAAGACCATATTCACAAACTTTAAAATAAAAAACGGAAAAGAAAAAAATATATACATGTATTATCAGATGACCGGACGAATTGTAGCTTTTGTCTTGTCAGACGTAATTTTAATGAAGAAATGAATTGAATAAACATATATATTTTTTTCTTTTCTCAATAATTTTGTAGTTTTAAACTTAATAGTGATTAAATTTGGATTTTTAAAAATTGCCAGTTTTTAATTTTAATATTAAATTTTATCATATAAATTTATAATTATTAGTTAGTAAAATTATTTTTAATATTACACGTATTTAAAGATCTAAATAGCTATAATAGCAGGATTTTGTTGTCAAGCTTTTGAATCTTTCTGTACTTCGTTTTTTGATTGGTTATTCTAGCTTTTGTAACAATGCTCCCCTAGTGTAGGATCGTTAATTAATCTGAAACTTTTAAAACCATTTATTTTATTTTCAACACCATCACTTGATAAGACACAGAGTGTGTTGAAACAAAATGGCTATTTTTGTAGTGATTTTATAACATACTTATGTTATAAATTTTTTATAAAAAATAATTATATATATATATATATATATATATATATATATATATATGTATATGTATGTGTGTGTTTAGGCAGGTAATGTTCCTTAAGACAAATATTAAAGACAGAAGACATTTTGTGTTGACTTTTTCAAATTATGAATAATCCTTCTCAGACAAGGAAGAAATTCCATTAGAAATTGTCTAAAGTAATCAACTTTGCTCTGTTTAGGTAATCAAGGCATTGATCCCTTTGTTCAGTGGGAGGGTGTTTGCCTTCAGGTCTTTTTACTTTTTTCTTATTGCTATCCTTCTTTGAAGTTCTATCTTGTTTATCTTTTGGCAAATTGGTTCCACCAAAGATTTTGGTTTTTCTTATATATATACAGAATCCTTAAAAATCCATTTGGTCAGGTGATAATTTATTTCATGGACTCAGACATCCATCTCTTCAGACCAATTTTACAAAATAAAATTTGTAAAATTAGTCTGACGAGATGGACATTTGAGTGCATGAAATAAATTATCACCTGACCGAATGGATTTTTAAGGATTCTGTATTCATTATTATATGTGCTCTGTTCTTACATTGAGCTCTCTTTGGATTTATATCTGATATAATGGAATATGCATACACCTGTGTTCCCCATCACTGGAATATGATTGGCTGGTGTCCGTCATAAATACAGACGGACGTGTAGGTATGATAGAGTTTAAGTCTATGAGGACGCCCATTGGACTACGCCATTGGCTATCCTATTGGTCTACACCTATTACCTGCAACTACGATGAGTACCGGTCGGTTACTGCTACCGTGTACTACTTGGTTATAGTAGCCAAAACCACTTATCTACTTTGATCAAATATATCCCTTTCTGGGACATATCAATATCCTCCTTGGAATTATCCCTACTATTCATCAAGTGATATTATTTATATATATATATATATATATATATATATATATATATATAAAGATCAGCAGTGGTAGTTACTTAGTGTATTCATTTGTTGTGTGCTTGGTGGATTTTTGCTTCAGGATTGCCTACCGGAATAAGTACTGTTTCGGTAGGGTCTCTTGGTAAACAAGTATGATGTTGGAAGACCTGAAACTTGACATCACTGACAAGGCAATCCTGCGCACTCATTGGAGTGTTTTCATAACAAACATATATAATATAGTGTTCAGGCTAAATTTGACATTCTAATGTTTATATTTCTTCAAATTGGTTTGGAATATCTGTAAACAGTGAAACCTCATCACTACAGATTTAGAGGTATCAAAATTAAGTAAGCAGAAAAAAATCTGTTGGTGGGCTTATCTACTAAAGGTTGTACTAAATGGCTGGGGTCAATAAAAAAAAAACTACAACAAAGCAATAAGCTAGTCAGGTGGCAGGTGACACAATTGGTATTTTATAACATAATCTAGGCATTGAGCACTTTACTGAGTTGGTAGGTGTTTGCCTTTAGGTTTTTTTTCTTTTTGCTGTGCTTGTTCGAGTTTTTATCATGTTTAAGAGTATTTAAGTCTTTTAGCCAAATAGTCTGTTGGTCCTAGCTTTGTTTTTTTTTAATAATAAAATTATATATATATATATATATATATATATATATATATATATATATATATGAGAGAGAGAGGTCTTTTTAATGTGAAGCTGCTTTTGACCAATTCAAAAATTGCCCAATCCATCCAACCACTGTCATGCTGCCAACAATATTCCACTGACCCTATCTCTTTTTGTACGGTGAGTAAGGTGCTGCCACAAGGCTAGAATACCTAGGTCCGAGCATCTTCTCCATTAAATATAGAGAACAGTCTTTGATTGTTTTCATTTATATTAGGGGAGATAACTGGTATCAGTTAATTCTTCTTTGTTAAGACAGATGTTTATTCCACTGAACCAGAATATATGACATTCGCTCTCACCTAGAACAATTGTGGCTTACAGCCATATCACATTGAAACACCGGTTCCCGTATGATCACTGAAGTTAAGCAACATCATTACCTAGATGGGTGACCATTTGGGAATAACAGGTGCTGTAAGCTTGGATGTGCAGGTGAGGTAATGGATAATGGCTCAGAATTATCAATCAGAAAGCTGAGTTCCAGTTCTAGTTGGGTTCATTATATCTTGCAAATATACTTGGGATAGGTATGAATTTACCTTTTCTCCCCTAGCTATAGTTTAATTAGTAACACTTGTATCGCTAAATCATTATTATCAGAAAAAAATAATATCAATCAATGAAATACTGATCATCTACGCATCTTTTAGATTTATTTGTATTCTCTGGGATATAAATGTATAGAAACTACCGTGGCCACAAAGTGAGGGATCAGTTTGTATATTGATTGTAACATAGAATTGATCCCCTACTTTATATCCACATTATAATATTTTGTTTGTTTATCAAATTCTGATCAGGTATGAATCCACCTTTTCTCCCCCCCCCAGCTATGGGTTAATTAGTAAGCCTTGTATCACTAAAACCAAAAAATAAATTCTTACAATCTAAAAATATTTTCTAGCTTTAAATAACCTGCAAAATGTTGATAAACTGTAGAAAACCAATCAATCAATCAAAAAAGAACAAACCTGTTTCTTCATAATCATTTTTAAGGTCATTTGTTTGAATACAAAGAGAATGGAAGCCAAATTTGGTCTTCTGTGTAAACATCATTGGCTGACAAATAGTTATGTCATTTTAAAAGTTAAACAGATTAACTAGTCACAATTATTGACTCTGAGTTCTCTCTCCTTACAAAAGTTTACACATTGCACTTAAAAATTGTTTGCTAAGTTTTAAACTTTCAAAGATCTCTATGAAATTCATAATTCCTAACACAAAATTCAAATGAAATATTATTGGTTACATTATGTTAAGTAGATATAGATTTGAATTTGTGCAAAGTTGAATTTAGTCAAACATGAATTGTCTTTTGTGCAACATGTAGAAATAGGGATTGATTTTTAAATTGTTCATTTTCAGACAAACGTTTTTAAAATTCAGTTTGTAAAAAAAGAAAAAATGCCACAAAATTGGATGGTCAGTGTTGTTCATTGATGTTTAGGAAAATTAAAATCAACAATCTTGAACCTTTGTGCCCGCAAAACAACTGTGGCAAAGGACAGTTTTCCCTTGACACCGCTATTATTTTAACTACCGTCACTCCTCAGTAGTATTTATTTTTAAAAAGTGATGATTAGAATTGGAATAAAACCTAAACATATGATGAAAGTGAATTTATACATTTTTTGTTCTTGTTAATTTGCAACAAAAATATCAAATACGATTTATTTATTAGATTGTTTATTTACAAGAATAATTTTATATTTACAACATTCTGAAAACTAATAAAATTCTATTAAAACTCATGCAATGCAATATTTATCATTTACAAATTTATAGAAATATGAAAACAATTTTTTATTCATAAAGTTATCACCATTTACTAGATTATTAAAATATGGGAACCTAAGAAAATGTATAAATTCACTTTCATATGTTTAGGTTTTATTACAGTTTTAATAATCACTTTTTAAAAAAAATACACATTGCTAAAGAGTAAAGGTAATTAAAATAATAGCAGTGTCAAGAAAAAAACTGTCTTTTTGCTGGTATGAAGGTCTAAGATTGCCATAAAATTTTTAATTTATCAAGCTATTTTTTTTTTCATTGTAAAATGATTGGAAAAAAATTACAAAAAATATTATTTTAAAATTTTCTGTTTAGAATTTTTTTTTTTTTATTAATATTAAAAATTTATAGTATTTTTTTAATTCTTCTTTTGTTTTTCTTCCTTCCCAGAATTCCCTGCACCACCATTTTCTTTTCTAACTGTAAATAACTCAAGTAGATCATGTTATTTTTTTTGACTCATCCCAAAACTGTCATCCCTTCTCTTTTCAGTAAGCAAAAAAATTTTACCATAAAACTTTTTCATCATTGTATACACTAAGTATGCAAAACACACAGAACCCAAGATAGCTTAATCATTTATATAGATGTGCGTACCAGTTGGCCATTATCTTCATATTTTACCATAGACTATACATGGTAACTGCCACCAACATTCATTTCTTTCTCAAGTCCCCAAAACCTCTTTACCCTTTACCTTACAATGACATTCATTTTATGCATCTTGTGGCAAACAATATGCAATAAATATTAAACACACCATTGTTTTTATTATATCGTATTTTGTTTTTTTGATTTTTAAATTAGGATTCTATCCTTGCTGACCCACATCAATACATTTATTTGTCTATTAGCAAGGAAAGTGGTGATTAATGTATATTATTGCATATGCAGCCTCGTTAAGGAAATTATTCAACACTAAAGAGAAAACCGATTTTAAAATTTCTCCTTTGGCAAGACCATAATTTGTACATGTCCCCATAATAACATACATGTATTAAAGTAATCCCTGTATTTCAATGAATGCTATATGCAGTTTTATTTCGGCGGGATTTTTTTTTTTTATTTTAGAAAGAGAGAGTGAACAAGGGAAAAAAATAACACAAAAAAAAACTTCCATCTTTTTTTAATTTTGTTTTTAAAAGCTTCATTCTCACTTCACATTCTATAAAGTTAGTCATCGTGCCTCTATGCTAATATATATATATATATATATATATATATATATATATATATATATATATATATATGGGGAAATTGTATGACAAAGTGGAAAAAGTTTACTTGTTACATGTTTCATCCTTCAGGACTTCATCAGACTAAATTTGTTATGTTGGTATGACTACACATGCACACAAACGAGGGGTATTGGGGATTTTAGAATTTTATATATATATATATATATATATATATATATATATATATAGCTCAATTCATTTAGGGTCTTTTTCTTTCCATCAATTTTGTTAGTAGGTATTCCACACTGTGATATTAGAAGATCTGCCAGGAAATGTAAGAGCCAGGATGGCAAATTTACTATTGATGACCTTGCAATCAAGGCACTCTCTAGACATTTGGTGAAAAGAAAAAGACTCTAAATGAATTTGGCTAGATATAAAAAAAATCATATTCTAAAATCCCTAGCAGCCCTCGTTCATGTACATGTGTAGTTGTATCAACATCACAAATATAGTCCGATAAAGCCCTGAAGGACAAAACGCATCACAAGTAAACTTTTTCCACTTTGTTATACAATTTCGCCAATACTGTTCTTGATATATAAAAATATATATCGTTATCTCATATATTACATCTCTAAAGATTCTGTTATCCTATTCCGATCTCCTTTTGCCAAAATAAATGCAGTATTTAATGTGGATCAACTTTGTATCAGTTACCAAACATAGTGACAATAAAAACAGGCTAAAGTAATTTATGTCTGCATAAACTGAATGATTATCATTTTGTTTTTGTTCCTTTCACTCTCAATCAATCTACTCTTTTCATGTCATATGTACATATGTGTACATCCCTCTGTTAATCCATCCATCCATCTGTATATAAATGCCATGTGTGTGTATATACATATATCTATAGACCAAATGCTACTGGTCATTACTGTGTGTGTAGCACTTATTGTTGTGTATTATACAAAGAAAATAATGGTGACTTTACATGTTTACATACTTCCACTACTATTAAAATTATTATATATATATATATATATATATATATATATATATATATAAGTATATAAATATATATATATATATATATATATAAAATAGAGACTAGCACACACTACCGAAGGTGGGTGGCATTCTGCCACCAAAAAAAAAAAGTGTGTATTTCTTTCTTTTTTTTTTTTCTGATACATTTAGAAATAAAGAAAGGCCTGTTTTATGTTGTGTTGTAGATTGACAAGGCTTACAAACTGTGTGGACTTTTCTTCCTTTTACTCTTTAAAAAAAAAAAAGAAAAAAAAAAAGGATTATATATAAACACGGTGTCCCAGGAGGAAAAACAGACCCAGGAGTATTTTGTGGATACATTCACTGTATATACATCAGTAAATTTGCAGACTATGTAAACACTAATAAAGTGGCCAGCATATGTCTGGCGCTGCACAATCTTTTTATTTCCCTCCTATTAAAAGAAAAAAAAACAAATCTTTTTAATATAAGTTGATATTAATTATAGCAAGAATACCCAGTGTGGGCCAATTCCATTTCCTTTGCTGCATTATGCAGTTGTTCCTTTGTTTGAAAGATTTGAATATGCCATAAAATGGTATCAAATGATTTGCATACACCTTGAAATGGTATTAGTGAAATTGTTGTAATTAAAACAATTCAAATAGGTTTAAATACTTTGGTGGTTGTTTCTTTCATATATAGCATGTTGTATATTTTATATTTTCCAAAAAGAAAAAAAAAACTTTGATTCCTTCCTTTCATGCACTGCTTACTTCTCTTTACTCTTATGCTGTGATCTAAATGCTAAGATGGTTACCACTTTTGGGGCAGAACATTGCTTGATTTAAATAACTAAGAGATTTGATTATATAAAAATCACAAAAGGTTAAACTGGAAATGTATAACATGTTATTTTGAAAAATGTTTTTTTTTTAAGCTGAATATGCAAATTAGTTACCGCTATTAAGCAAAAACTGTGAAGTTGGTTAGGATATAAGACATGCTGGTAAATATAAACTGCATTTATTTAATGCCAGTTTTACAGAGTATTAGTGTACACACACACACTTATTCACTCTGATTTTACTGTAAGGATATTGTTTCACTCTCTCAAGTGAGAGGCACAAAATATTTCCCTTTATCACTGGGGTTCCATCCAACACTTTTTCTCCAATGCTATGAAAAGGAGAGAACATAAGATTCTTTAAATTAAAGAGAGATACCACATGAATATTCAACAGAACCATATTAAAAAGGCCATGAAGATGTCAATTACTTATATTTTCTTTCATTCTAATTTTGTTTGATTTTTATCACCTTCGTTCTAAAGCCCAAATTGAAAATGAGTAAAAATTCCTGACAAGAATCCAAAATTAGGATGAAAGAAAGTCCAAGTCAAAAATGAATAATGGATATCAATGCTTAATTTA